ACAAAATTATAGTAAAATCTTTATTATTAGAATAAATAGTCAATTGTATGAAAGCATAAGAACCTTTTACTAATTGCTTGTCTAGCATTTAGAGCGTCAGGAAAATGTATATATTTATTTAACATATTCTTATAATATATTAATGCTGTGGTTACTTCTTCAATATAAACACTGCACATTTTTTGGGATATATTCTTTGCAACCCCAACTGGTCGCTGATAAGATCCCGTTGCAAACAAAGATAATGCAGTGAGTACCTAGAATAATAACAATTAATAAAAAAATACATGAAGGATGCATGTTTATGTTCACAAATTGTTTTAAATGATTTTACCTTTGCTTCCAAGGTAACCCGTTGAGTAGATTTCAAATTAGTTAATTGTCTTAGTTCTTTACACAAGCCTTTAAATGCTGCTGCCATTGGCACAAGTTTAGAATAGGGGACGTGGCCCCTGGCGGAGTGGGTGGTATTTCTGGATAGGGGACGTGATAGGGAGTCGAAATGTTAAATAAAAAATTTTCCGGAAACGTACGAGTAAAAAGTTATTGAGACTTAAAGTTATAACATATCTAACACATTTCCATACATTTCTTTACCTAAATAAGTGATTACAACAGATAAACATACCTTTAACGAATAGTATGAATCCTTTTTTATGTACAATACATATTTTCACAACAATTAATGCTTTATTGTATTTAATATTTTAATAATTTCACAACACAAACAAAATGACCTTACATTTTGACAAAAGCAAAACTGTCACTTTGTTTTATATTACCGCTTAAATGACAACAGATTATATTCGATTATTTTTGCTTTTTCTGTTGGTAATATTAATAAATAAATAAAAAGAAAAATATTATTTTCACTTCATAAATACATTATTTATTTATTATTCGTCATATCTTGGTTAGGTTAGGTTAGAACATTTAAGATTATTTATTTATTATTCGTCATATCTTGGTTAGGTTAGGTTAGAACAGTTGCCACAACGCACGAGCCGAGTGAGCGAAGCGAGCGTGCCGCGGTAGCGGCCGGCGAGTGCCATAAATGACTAGAAAACTAGAAAATTCGAATTTCACGCAAAGTACAAATAAAGACAATCATCTGGAGATCATTTTGACAATTGAAAGTGACGTTTTAACTCCAAGTGTCTAAATGGTAGTAATGTCAAAATAATGTATGGAAATGTTGTAACTTTAAGTCTCAATAACTTTTTACTCGTACGTTTCCGGATAATTTTTTATTTAACATTTCGACTCCCTATCACGTCCCCTATCCAGAAATACCACCCACTCCGCCAGGGGCCACGTCCCCTATTCTAAACTGCTGCCTTTTAATTAGCGTTTTCACTCTCACTAACAAAATCTAAGTGACAAGTTAACTTGCTCGCAAGTGAGGAAGTTTACAATTGAACTGTCAAAAGTGACATAAATTGCAACTCACACTCGCAAAAACGCCATTCCAGCGCGTTTAATTCCTCACTTCGACAAAGTTCGTCGACGGTCGCGATCATAAAGGTAACAATCAAACTCGCACTCACAAAATATGTTTTACAAACTTTCCGCTAGGTGGCGCTGATCCAACTCCATACAAATTTGCGTTTACTTTAACGCGATCGAGTAGTCAAAAAAACTCACACTAAGCCCACTGAAGTAAGGTCGTCCTTCATCTGTGTGCTTACTAGATGAAAATATTGTGTATTAATCATATAGATAAAAATACCTAGTGATTGTGAGTGTACCTTAGGAGATAAACATGTAATATTGCGACAATTTTGTACTAGACATTATTTTGATGTATCTCTTAAAGTTTAGCCAGCGTTGTCATGTGATGTAAATTGCTACACTGACGACTCGACAGTATTATTGTTAATTAACAGTTATTGTACTTTCGCTTTTCCAGTAAGAATGAGATTTTTCCTTATAGCAAAAGGTATTCTAAATGTTAGCCTGAGTAATAAGTAATAACTACACAAAATTTAGTTAAAATCGGTTCAGTACTTTTTGCGCGAAGTTTACATTGATATACAGACAGACAAAATTTTTATACCTATTGTTTCGTGTTCTATATTTTATACACAATACGTTAATCTGACAAAGTGTTATTAAATGTTTGTGTATCACTTTTTATGTTTGTCACTTTTTCACGCTGAAATGGCTGGGCAAAGGAAGGGTATCGATAAGGTCTCATTTGCGCCACAGAATAACGAAAAAAATTATATCATACAATTCGATATGTTCTTCACATATAGTAGTCTTTGTATCTGATCAGAAAATATATTTGAGAGAAAAAACTAAAATTACATAATGTTACTCGTGAGACGCCAAACTTTGGTCTAACTGGAATTTTCGTTCAATAAGAGTCATTTTGAGATTACAACTTTTTTTATATAGAGCGCATATAAAAAGCACTTCCCTTAGTGCTTCTGGCCTGCTCTATAAATAAAAAAAGAGGTTGATTTTTTTCTGAAAATGCCACGATACCGCAATTTAAAAGTTGCAAAAATAGTGCGCGAAAACGATTTTTTTCAGACGGAGTGTCTTTATTTTTGGTAAATACATGTAGATGCATGTAGAGATTAAGTCAATATCTTAAGATTTAACCTACGAGATAATATAAAATGAAATTTTGAACAATTTTAAATCTGCTAAGAACGTTGGCCCAGGTCGGCCAATACAGGTGCCAATTTTAAGAAGCAAACAGAAACAGAACATAACGATTTAGCTCATAAAGCAACAACGGGAAAAAGTGCTTTATGTATTTTTGTATATGGATGATTTTACAATAAATATTATAAAACTTACGAAATGATCGGAAGTTTAAGATGACAATTTGAAGATTTATGACTTTATTACAAGGCGCTATGGTGTTGATTAGCTTAAAAATAAAACTATTATAAGATTTTGTCTTGGTTATTATACAAACATAGCTGTATAAGTACATATTTGTGCGGACAGAATTTAGCTTTGATTTTATATGTGACACGTTATCTAGTAGTAGTGTTTCCTTCATATTTTAAATTGTTTAAAATGGTAGGTTATATACAGTAAAAAACATTTATAAATAGTTAAAGATTTATTTAAGCCAGCATAATAAAGTATTTCATATTACTAATATTAACAATATTGATATTATATGGATACCTGCTTCGTAATAGACAGCTGTAACTTTGTTGTTGCAGTCTTTATATTTTTAGTAAAATATACCCCACACTTAGGCACACTTCAGTAGTAGGTAATAACTATATTAAAAAATATTATTCTTATCAAACAAATTACTTGCGATCACGGACTAGGAATAAATTAATAAAAATCAAAAAAAAAACTCTGACATGTAATTCCGTTTTGTGGTGGCGGCCACCTTGGATTTGAAATTTATCATAGAGTATAGTATTCTACTAGTCAAGCAATTTCATTTGATACCCATATTGAGGGAGTTGTGAAAAAATATGTAATCCGTCATTTTGTGGAGGCAGCCATCTTGGACTGACTTTCATCAAACATAGCTAAGAACACTCCCGACTAATTCACCTTTAAAACAAAAAAAAAACAAATTCAAAATGGGTTCATCCGTTCGGGAGCTACGATGCCACAGACAGACACACAGACACGTCAAATTTATAACACCCTGTCGTTTTTGCTTCGAGGGTTAAAGAAAGGACTCCGCAGTATTAATTTATTATTAAGAAATAAAATTTGTTCACAAAAAATAAAAGTAAACATTCACAAACATGAAAACAGTAAAAATAAATATATAAATGCAAACATAGTTTAGGTCACTCCACTCTGAAACGTTATATGAAAGTATAGCTTTATTATACTACTGCGATTATGAAAATTAGTAACGATGACACTTAAAACTTAAAAATGCATTACTCTTATCAAGAAAAAAACTCTATTTACTTTATAACAACGGTTTAGTTTGTCATTTACAATCATAAAGTATACAATATATTAACATTCATAAATAAGCATCTAACAAATAATCGTCATCTAACAATAATGAAATAGTTAATATTTTTCAGGTTATACTTCTTTTTCGCACGTTTGGAAAAAATTATGAGAGTAAAATTTTTACGATGCGCGCGCACACCGACAGCCAAAAAGCGACATGAAGAAGTTAGCTGTATTCCTTTTACAAACAAAGAGTTACGAGATATACGGGATGAAATCTTTAGGTATTTTTGTTTTGTTACGCCAGAAGTATAACTTACGTGCGTGCATATATACACACACTTTTTTTTTAAATTTTTGATATTTAAAATTTTTTTAAGGCTCACTAATATAGGATTGTTAACATTAATTTATTAGATGACTTATTTTATAAATAGGGCAATTCACTTTCAAAATAAAAAGCCGAAAGATGTGCATATTCATATATGTTAAAATGTAGTTAAAATCGGTATTTAGTTAAAACGCGTTTTCTCTTGTTAAAACTACATAGTTTTTACTAAATGCCTTTGTTACAAGTAGAATTTACTGTTATTTGAAAATTATTATGAAAACTAGTAGTAGAAAACTATACAAAACGCATTTTCAGAATATGTTTTTAACGAAAAAAAATAGTTACTTGTTTGGCCCCAAATCTAAGAGAAATGAGCATATTGGTTCTTGGTTTGAAATAAAAAAGAAGACCTAAGAAAGAAGGCTAAGGCGTTCTCAACCTACGTTAACCAAGTCTGACCCGTCACATAATCGAAAATTAAAGCTTACAAATAAATAATCTTTTATACAGATGCTATTTTAACTAAGGTTTCAGTTAGGCCTAATTTTATCTAAAATTTATTTAATATAAATATTAAATTTCTAGTTTTAACTACTAAGTACTAGTTGTAACAAAGGTATTTAATAAAAACTAGTTTTACTTAGAGAAAACACGTTTTGACAAAAAAAAAAGGGTTTTAACTGTAACATATCACTTAGAACCACCCGATTGTTAAACAATGACCGACGTTTTATTATATGCTTATTTATATATTATTATTTATTTCTCATAATTTAAGCTGAGCCAGTTCCTGCAGTAATGCTGGTTCGTTGTCAATCTTTGCCAGTTGGTTGAGTTCTAATTGTTTGCCGGATGCCTTCTGTTGCTTTAATTTGTCTATGTCACTTAGTTTCTGGAAATATAAAAATAAAATAAATTATACCAAAAATTTTGCTATTAACACGGTGCTTTTTGAAGTAAAACTTCTTTACGAACTTTGGGGGGTAAGCTGGTGAATGCGTTACGGAAAAATGTACATACGTCTGTTGCCATGGTAATCGTTGTTATTGTCTTACAAATGATATATAATATTACATATATTCTTTCCTTAAATTATATTCTATAAATTTATGATTGTAATATGCCTAATATGCTTTATTTTTAGTATCTCACATATACTAATTACATTAACGAATTAGAGACTGGACCTGAAATAAAACACAAATGTATGAAAACTAGTTCAACCAAGTGACGCATAACGCACACAAAGAATTTATTACATTATTATAAACACTGATACACAATACAATATTTCTAGTGCTTGAACGTAATCGATAAAATACATATATCGATGAACCAATGAATGACATTTTAGACATTGGTTAGCATAGTCATCATATTTTACATCTTTTAATTTAAAATATCTGTATTTATTATAATAAATTAAAATAAATGAATTAAAGAGGCAATGTGTCAAATAATAATTATTTTTTTATTTGATTTATATAAATACGATGGCATTGATGGCAACATTCTGTTGGCCTATAATAATGTTAATGAACAAATGAATATCGGGTGTATATTCCATTAATATATAATAAATATTATTTTGTAAAGATTAAAAAAATATTAAGCTAATCTATACTAATATTATAAAGAGGTAAAGTTTGTGATCTTGTGAGTTTGTGAGTTTGTGGGTTTGTGAGTTTGTGAGTTTGTGACGTTGTAGGGGGTAATCTCTGGATCTACTGAACCGATTTACAAAATTCTTTTACCAATAAAAAGCCACGTTCTTTCTGAGTGTCATAGGCTATATATTAACCCGAAGAATGAAAAAGCTTTTTCGTGGTAGTCGGATTTGCAAAGTAAGTCGGAGAAAAAACGGTCGAACGAAATCGTTTCTTACGAACGCTGCCTTAAGGATGAGAGATATATGATTATGTTCTAGAGAAAAGTTGTAGAGCTTAATAATGCCTACAAAAAAGTCAGCGACAGCATATGTCTAACTTTTATATTTAATTCACAAAAAATAGTTTTTTATATTAAAAAAATAATTTAAATCGGTAGGTCATTTTTATTGGTCATATTATCAACAATTATGAATTCTTATCAAAATAAGTAAATTCATCGTCTAAAATGTTTAAAACCAAAGACTTTTCCCTTTTACTGCATATAATTTGGACAAATGGTTAAAGAGATAATACAACATATTCGTAGGTATGGACGAACCCGAGCGAGCTGTTTGTCTGTTTTCCTGTTTGTACGGGCTAATCTCCGAATCTATTTAACCGATTTAAATGAAATTTTGCGTGGTTGTACCTTATATCCCCGGACAACATCTTAGATACTTTTCACCCCGAAAAATTAAAAGAGTTCCCGTGGGATAGTTAAAAAACTATATCAACTTATACAGCTTAGTACACAAAAACTATTGATTGGATTTTAATGAAACTTTACAATAATATAGTTCATACATGACAAAAACAAATCAGCTACTTTTCATTTCAGAAAATTAAAGAGTTTCCGTGGGGTAGTTAAAAAACTATAGTAACTTATACAGCTTAGTACACAACTACTTTCGCACCTAATTTAATAAAATTTGGCATACTGATACCTTATATTGCCGGTCAAACAATAAGTTACTTTTCATCCCCGAAAAATGAACGGTTCCCGTGGGATAGATGTTTGTGCTTTTCTAGAGGCGAACCCGAGCGAAGCGAGGGTGAGCCGCTAGTTTAATTAAATAAAGTGATTTTGTTGATTCTGTTATTGAACTATTTTAATTGGCAATTGATTGTCTCGGGTAGTTATAAAAATGTGACACTGTCCTAATATTACTCAGTTCTTAATAAACATTTGTGAAATTAGGAAAAAGAAAAAGTGATTGCAAATTGCGAAAAAGTGAGTGTTGGATCGTGAAAGTAAAATAATTAGTGCAAGTGGTAAAGTGTTTTATTACAAATCGCGAACCCAGAAGTTTAGTGCTAAAACATTATTGTTTGAATTTGTGTAATTTATGTGTTGAAATAAAATGATCTTTATTATTATTACAATGGAATAATATTCCAAAGTATATAAATGTGGTATAAAATAAAATAAAAAACTAAGTACTGTAGTGTGTATGTGTATATACCTCCCCGATACCTATATATTGTACGACCTGTTATAATTAAGAGAGTATTAAACGAACCTTGGAGCCAAACAGTTGTCTCATTTAGTTCTCGCATTACATGGCGACCCTGCCAGGCGGTGTGCGTGCAAGCGCTACACAACGTACGTATACGGCACGCACACCGTCCTCGGAAAAATGAAGAACTAATAACTTAATTATTGATCATCTGAAGAAAAAAAATATAAGAAAAAAATATGAAGACAAATGGAAGATAGAACAAAAAGACATTTTTTTACGAAAATGAAAATTAAATTACGATGGAAAAAGAAGATATACCTAATCTGAAAAAAAAAATATACAAATATACTTCTACAATATCTGACAGTAATTTTATAAGTAGGAATAAAATAAAAATACTGTCTTGTGAAACCAATTTAAGAATCCGAGAAGAACATCTAGTAAAAATGAGGATGAGAACCTCCTCTTTTTTAAAGAAGTCGGAAGAAAATAACGTCAGAAGATTTGAAAAAATCAAAAATTGAACAAGGCATGAAAACAATGTCAGAAGGTTTCGAAAAATGAAATGAGAAGGAAATCAACATTTACATTATCTACTACCGAAGTCTGAATCAATCAATGAATATAAGGTAATGGCCAAAAATTATTTTAAAATAATTATAAAGATTGGAATTGTTTTATGTAGTTACGATATATATTTTTTTTCTGTAAAAGCAAACAGAAATATTAATATTATTAATAATAGAGAGTTTTGTAATATGTAACAAAAATAGTATCTTAATTTAAAAAAAATTGTAATTTAATATCTAATGGGTATTTCATATATAATTTTTAATATTTATCATTTAATAATTTCGTTCTTTTTATAAGGAATTATAATCCAAAGTAGGTACAATTACATTTATTGCAATATTGAATCTTTTGTAAAAATTAAATAGATTTAACATTTTTATATTAATCATAACTATTTATTGGACTAAAATCTTGCAAGGAAACTGTTCCTAACGATAGATCAGGTTCATAACTATAAACCGCGCTTCATATTTCCTGACGCGAAACTTTTACTTATTTGGAAAGGAATTCGTACACTAATATGATTCTCGAGATCTTATTGCAGCCTGATGCAATAACTAGTAAACTTCCATTGTTTATATGATATTAAATTCGACTCTTTATAAAAAAGACAAAATCAAAGTTTGAATTGAAAATGATCAGCAATTAAAAAAACTGTCAAATATAATATTTTTTTAATAATTATGTTTATGTTACCCTAAATGTACTATAATTACTCTAAATACATGTTTTTTTATTATACATATATGTAAAGGAGCCTATAGATTAGGTTATTGGTGGTGGATAATTAGAAATCTAGGAATTTAAACTTAACAAAAATGGAATTGTAACTTAGATTACATGTTTTAAGGACAAGAACTTAGTAGATGAAAGGCTAAAATTGAAGGTATGGAAAAATTGAATAAAGGATAAGAATGTTTTTGAGTGAGCTTAACTGTAGGTAAAATGGAATGAAAGGAATTAAGAGTTGGTTCTATTGACAATTAGCTTTTACACCGATGATCGGTCTGATCAGCCGATAATTGTGAAAATGTTAATCTGTTAATAAGTTCCTAATTTAGCGTTTGCTTTTGGTTCGAGAATAACTTATATATAACTGAAATAACAAATATGAATAATATTGTTTTGCCTGCCTATTTTCTTGATCATGTTGTACGCGAGTCATCTCCGTGAGAGCAATAGTGCAAGAGGCCAAATAAAATAAATAAATATGATGAAAAGGGCACGCCTATGAATAAAAAATATATGGGAGAGGTTAAAACCCCCAAATAAATAAATATATTATACAAATAAAGAAATATATTATTATAATGAACCGACTGGAATCGGATAAATGAAAAAAAAGATATATCTACCTACCTATAAGTGACGTAAACTTATAAAGTAAAATAGCTCGCGAGATGAATAGTGACTAGTTAATTGAAAAATTATGTTGTCGACAATGATGAATTTATTATTAATAAACTGACTTTAAACTATTCCCGGATTGACTAATTTATTTGCTGTAGTTAATTGATTTTTTTTTGCATTTACTTGCTAATACTTATAATATATTATATTCTTTTTACGTATGATAAGATTATTAATTATAGAGATTTTTTATAATATTTCTTTAAAATGAATATTTTTATTTTAAGTTTTAACATATTAATAAAACATTTAGTAGTTAATATACCAAGGTTTCGTAAAAACATTTTTATTATTGAAACATAGTTTTTTTTTATGGTGAAGAAAAGATAAATTAAATTAAAAAACAATTTATTATTTAACGAATGCATACAAGTGCATACTGATAATACATTAAATATTTTTGTTAACTATTTAAAATTTTAGGATGATTTGGTTTAAATTGTAGATTCAAAATTTAAAAAAAATTATATTAGTACTACTATTATTATTTACCTTATGAAGTATTAATTTATATAGATATATTTTCCTGTTACCTGTTAATTATGTCATGCAAATGTAATTTTTATTTGTGTAAGTTCTGCATTAATTAAATAATAATTAAATTACGTTATGTGATATATTTCCAAATATGTAAAGATTAATGAAGTACCTATACAAAAATTAAATTTGTAACAAAAAAAAAATATAAATTCTTATTTTTTTTTTTCAAAATGCCGAGGGAGATGTAGTGTGTATGTGTATAAGCCTCCCCGATACCTATATATAGTACGACCTGTTATAATTAAGAGAGTATTAAACGAACCTTGGAGCCAAACAGTTGTCTCATTTAGTTCCCGCATTACAGTACACATACTAATTATAATTTTTGCATTTATATTTTTATTTGATTTAAAAAAAAATTATAAATTTATTGTCATCAGATTGTAGGATACTGTGATAAAAGTATTTTATGTTATTGTACTGTACAAATAACACAATTCGTTCAGTTATTTCGTCAAATATCGATATATTTTTCGACATTGTCAAGCACTAGTCGATGTCAAATGGACTCACTCGACAGTTTTGTCATTTGTTCTGAATGATATAATCCAGCCATTTTATGATAGTTGTCAGATGTCAACAATACATAGAAATATCGACTATATTTAACATAGTTGGATAATATGACATTTTATTTTACATTTAATTAAATTTTGTGATAAATAGCAATAAATGTAATAAAATAATATATTTAAAAGTGAAAAGAAATAGTGCTGCTTCCACCGTTATAGTTTTAACACCATTTAACAGAACATTTAGTCATTTTTGGGAGATGTTTTGTTGACAAGTAAGTGCTTGAGACTGACACAAAAAACAAACGACCAAGGCTAAAATTCCCTGGTTACTGACAAGACCGGTAAAGGTACGTCCGTTTATATGTCTGGTCCAGTAGTTAATTCGTTTATGACTAATTATTTAAAACATAAATTGAATTTCATAAATAGTACCGATAACCTACAGAAGTTTTACTTCTTGCGCGTGTACACATTCATACACGCACTCTTTAATATATTTTTTTGTTTGTTTTGACATTCTAGCTTCTGGCTCTATATGCCAGATTTAAAATAATCTTATTGAGAGCCTATTTATATAGTATGTGTTTATTATGACATAGTTAGGCCAAGTGTTTATGATTTTGAAGCAAAAAAACTCAACAACAGTCTATTGGCTTGAACAAAAAAGCGGCTTAGAAAAATCGATAGCAATTTATAGATCAACCCAATATTTTTATGTTTTGTAATTTAACTGCAGAAATGTCTATCAGTTCACAGTAAACCCCTGGTATAATCCTTATGACATACGAACAGACGGACATGACGAAACTGTAAAGGTTATCAGTTCACAGTAAACCCCTGGTATAATCCTTATGACATACGAACAGACGGACATGACGAAACTGTAAAGGTTCCCTTGTTGCCTTCTGGTTACGCAACCTTTAAAAGCTAGTATTACATATTCAATCTGGAACTATTTATAATTATATTTTTGTTTTATTTACTATCGATTGCATGTAAGATATATATGATTTACATATGACCGCCTTTGCACATATCTTTTCCTGATTTTTTTCTTTTAAAATGTACCATTTTATTGTGCAATGAAAATATAATAATAATAAGCCTGCTCTGTATAGCGAAGAATATCTTAAGAAATAATACCTTATTAATGTTTTTGATCTTCTTATCTTTCTCGGGGTCGCCGGTGGAGACGAAGGGCGCGCGGGGCGCAACGGGCGCGGGCGCGGCGGGGGACGCGGGGGAGTCGTCGCCCGCCCTCTCTTCGGCCTTGCGGGCTTTGCGTGCCTCACGCTTCTCCTTTTGTTTGATTGCTTGTTTTGATGGCGCTGCTGGTGGTAAATTATAACGATGATACAATTTTATTTCGAATAAATGACTCACCCGCGTTTCACTCGGGTTCGTCCCTAGATTGCTTCCCAATACAAACTTTCATCCCTATTTTCACCTACTTAAGTGATGATTTCCGGGATAAAGAGTATCCTATGTCCTGCCCAGGGTCTCAAACTATCTTTTTACCAAATTTCATCTAAATCGGTTCATTACATCCAGAGATTACCCCCTACAACGTCACAAACTCATAAACTTACAAACTCACAAACTTTACCTCATTATAATATTAGTATAGATTAAAGACTTACCAGAGTTTCGCTCGGGTGCATCCCTGAGTTGAATGGTTTAGAAACCCATAAAAGACAAACATTCAAAGAAAAATATTTATATACAGAATAATCCGCCAGAGTTTCATCACGATCGGGTTTAGGAACGCATAGAGGACACACATATGAACATTCATTTCTATTTACACGGATAGATAGATGTGGCTTGGTTGGCATTTTATATGTGTGGTACTTGTTACTTTTTTGTACCTTCTATTGTATTTTTAAATATAGAATTAGGAAATGTTGTTGAAATTTTTTACTTATATTAATGAATAATTTAATAAACTTGTCACTTACCATCTGTAGCTTGCCCAGGCTTGTGAGGCTTCTCATGTTCATGCAACACGAAGGTCGACGGTCGGTTCCTTGCGCCGGGTGGTCTATATGCGCCTGTGGCTTTTGGCGTAGCGTCCTCTAGGCTCTTTGGTGCAGTCCTGGACAGTTCGCTCTTCGGATAGGTACCAGGTTGCCAGCTGATGGACAGAAGGTTTTCCTTTTCCATACAAGCGCGCTTGTGCATTAGAGCGCCGGTGTAGTGCCAGATTTTGTAACTGGAATTATTTTTATGCATAAGAACACTTAAAATGGTATTATATTAATCAACTCTGTAACTGAAAAGTTATTTACATATATATGTATTTTTTTTATATTGTGTTAGTTTTCTATTTAATTCAAATAATGTCTTTTATCTCTTTTTTATTTCTTTATATATATTCTTTATATTATCTTTAGCATATTCTGTTTGGGCAATTCTTGTCTGTCTGTATTTACATAATTTGGATAGATTTCAATAAACCCCATTGTCCAGATACAGTTATAGTTAGTTTTTTACTGAAAAACTGAATAAATTACAACTGTCCCAACCTAGAACCCAAAACCTGGACCTTCAGAGAACAGATCTACTGCTGAATATTCTAAGTAAATAAAGCTATAAAAGTTAGTAAATAATTTAATAGTAATATAATAATGAAAGCCATTATTTACCCATTCCCAACAGTAAGTCTTGGGTATGTAGTGGCTGTGAGGAAGGTTTCTCCTCGCGGGTCCCACTGCAGGCTGGTGGTGTCCGGGGCACTACATTCACCGACCTTCTTGTACCCACGTACATCCCATACCGAGATGTGCCCTGATGCTATATTGCCGAAACCACCTAAGAGGACTAGTGTGATCGAGTTAAGGTTATTGAACTATAATAAAACTGAGAGTTTGTGATCAGTTTGTGATGTGACCAACACAAAACTGAATGGGGCACTAAACATTCATTAACTCAGAAATTATTATTAATACATATATGCTAAATATTCTCTTTTTCTTTATAGAAAACATAAATTAACTATATGCCTATAATAACCCTAAAAAAACAGGAATCAAATTAACAACCACTTGCGAAAAACACAATACCGATATACTCAAATATATTTGAAAAGGATATCATTTCCTTCAGGTGGGAAGTATATCGCGTTCCAAGCGCCAGTGCCGAACTCGAAGAGCGGGTCACACTTGGCGTTGAAGAGTGTCGCCTTGGCAGGTGCGTGTCCGTACACGGATACCCACTCGTTCCAGTTGCCTGGGTTCCAGGCTATGGCGTGGATTGGACCCTCTTTACCTGTTATATTATTAAACATAATAATATATTTAGAATGGTACTTTTTATTTAGTTTTATATGAACATTGAAGATTTGGAATGAATTATATAACCTATAAAATGATCATTATAAGCAGACTAGCGATTTATACTCGCTTCGCTCGGGTGGGTATGCGGTAATCCGCATGTAACTGTAATAAGTTACATGAAATTGGGTCATGGGTTTTAATTTTTTTTGCCCGGAAGCCTGACTGTTTATCAAAATAAAAGTAGACAAGTTACTCCTTATAACATCAGCTATCTGCCAATGAAAGTCCCGTCAACATCGGTCCAGCCGTTTCGGATATTTAAAAATTGTTGTTTTCTTATATATTTACCACAGAAATCTTAATAATAAGCTAATAGAAGTGGCATAGACGCGTGACCTTGTCGCCGCGCATGTGACTCGTAGGTCAAAAGCGCGTGTAAAGCGTTTGTTGCGGTAACTAGTGTTATTTGAGACACGGAGAGGTAAACATGGTGTTTTGCAGCATATCCAACTGCGGAAATTCTTCCACAATTTGTAACTTTACAAATAAAGGGATAACATTTCATATGTAAGTACTTAATTTTTGAAATAATGTCGTTTTTAAGAAATATAGCCAAATCAAATGTTTTCACCACCACTACTACGATTATCGCAGGAAAACGATTTTTTTTCAATTCAATAACCATTACCACTTAAGCTTGTTCATGTATACTATTACAACTGCTAAAAGCAGCAATGAAATTCATGCGTAAAGAACAATATTGTCGCGTACGTAAATTCCAAGGACACGCCGCACAAGTTAGCCGCGAATTAGTGACGTGCCACCACAATTTTTTATCGAAAATTTATTACGTTTGACTTAATATTTTTCGTTAAATATTTAATTGTTACATCTCATTGTGTATGTTTTCTTTCTGTCTGAATAATTTATAAAAAGTCATTTATCAACGATTATCTGTAAATTCGTACTTTTAAACTACTTTTTATTCAGAAAATTATTAGGAGGTAGGCTTATTATTGTTATGTATGTAGTACTAGTATTGTTAGTATGTACTGCTAAAAAGTATTGTTTTTGACAACAAGCTAATAGCAAATAAAAAGTTTAAAAGTGAATTTGTAACGAAGGCCATGCGTCATTTTGTTGGGATAAAAATATTTGAAGATATTGATTTTCATCAATATGACCAGTCTCCAATTGATAATCATGTCATTCAATTAGTGAAATGCGTTTTAGAAAAAAATATAGATATTCGCCTCAATCACTTTGCCAAAAATGCTATCCAATTTATCCCAAAACGACAACTTTTAAATAAATTTTTACATTTTTCAGGGCAGTAACATTAATAATCTGGCTTTAAATGCCAAAAAGACAAAATACATAAAGTAAATAGATCGTTTATGGGGCAAGGTGTACGCATATATAATAAAATTCCACAGTCCATATTGAGCTTGCCTTTGAATCAATTTAGTTCTAAAATTAAAAATACATTATTGAATAAGGCTTATTACACCATTACTGAATATTTAGAAGATATAAATGCGTGGGATTAATATCTTGCTGTGTCTCACGTAGGATAAATGGATAAATATTGTAATGCAATAAATATTGTAATCAAATATTTTTTGAAAAGAGCAACTGTTGAGTATCTCGCCGGCTCTTCTCAGCAGATCAGCATTCCGAGTCGGTGGTAACATACTCACAGACTTACAGACTGACATTTAATGTAAAGTTTAATCATGTAAAAATGACGATTCAAAAGAACTTGTAAAAGTCTATTTGAATAAAGAATATTTTGATTTGATTGAGTAAATAATTCTAAGGGCGAGTTGTTTGATAAACAACATAGAAATTCTATAATTTTTTTTAAGTCATTGTTCAAAATGTATGGATATATATATATATATATATATATATATGGATTTTAACAAATAGTTTGCATTACTTTTGTATAACTATATAATAATAAAAAAAATTACTTACATTTAACGTTTTATTGTATTCCCTTTATGAAAAAAAATAAATCGTCTAAAAGCGCGTCGAGGAATGAAACAAAACACTTTCAATAAATTAGTTACCTATTGTTGCAAGACTCAACGGAAAATTATCGATATGAGCATTATGCGCTTTGTACTGTACTAAAAGTGAGCGCGCGATATCATTCTGTGCTTTTCGCACACGTTTATTATTGGTCACAGGGATCACGCCATCTGAGATTATGCGTTTTTAGAAAATATTGCGTAATGTCATCGCTTAAAGTTTAATTTTTGTTGCAACAATGCAAAATGCATGTGTGGGCGATAGTGTGTATTTATTGTTGTCAATGTGTTGGTAGCTGCAAGCCGGCGACACGCGTCCCAGTACTAAAAGACCGCAATGGCATTTCTATTACCTTATTATTAAGATTTCTGTGATATATACATATATCTTCATACGCATTTAGTAAAAGGCTGTTATATTGACATTACAAACAGATACTTCAAATCTATTTATCTGTATACATATGGCTGAGTACCTTCAAGTTTTACTAAGCTATACTAAAATATATGAATATACATGAAAATCGGCCAAAAGTTAGTTATTAAAAATATATTTAATATACATACATTTATTATAGATTTTTAATATATTTATAATATATTTTTTATACATTTTGACATTTATTTCTTTAATATATTTTTTTTCATGGGGGTATACTCACGATAAAATAGTGAAGGCATTATTAATTCGATTTTGTCTTTTCAGATTATCAGTATGGATGAATCTGTTTGTATCATCTGCAATAAGGCAGATGATAAGCAAGTGTATGAAATAAAAAAGATTTTTTGTTTTTTGCATTTTCTCAGAAGATTTACTATAGTAACATATATATTTTTTTTCACCATCGGAAAGTAGAGATTTCAACGAACAGAAAACATACCAACTTTTTGAAAAAAGCTGATATTTTGACGGGTGAATTTTCGATTGAAAATTAGAGTGCTTTTTCGATATTAATTCAAAATAAGGTGAAAAAATAAATATTTTTAATCAAATAAATTACAGCGTATTTGGGACATAAAAAGGCAAGTTTTCACCAAATTTCGTTAAAAAAATTTTTTTTGTAAAAGATAAAAATAAAAAACCAAAAACTTGGTTTTTTGAATTTTTCACATAAATTTTGAGGTTATGTGAAAAAAGTGTAAATACAAAAGTTTTAGATCTTTTTATTACCTACAACTTTGCCATTTGACTTTTTTCGATAGGACTTTTAGTTTTGCCGGAAATCGAGAAAAACCGTTTTTTACCCTTAAAAACTCCCCCCATTCCCTTGCCGACCTCAGATCGCCCGTAAATTATTTTTCCTTTCATTTTTATAATATTCCCCTCCTTTTCTAATGGGTTGCATCCTACTATTATTTTTTTCACTTTTTATTATTTTTAAAGGCTTCTACCCTGGTCTATTCGTAATATTGATTGTTGTTTGAGGCGTTACTGTCACTCTTTACACAATAATAAAAACTATCAAATAATAAAAAACATCAAATTTTACTTGGCCTATTTCTGAAAAAACGTTAGTTTTTAAACCACAGTCCTTCCTATCTATATTTGAATCAATCACATAAATTGAATTGAACGTTTTTAAAATATAAGTAATATATATTTTAATTTTACTTACTGAAAGTCATATTTCCTGCATTTCCCTTTACATCACCATATGATAATGATTGCTTTCCATAGTAAGAGCTTCCTGTTTTATCTACCTGAAAAATTATATTTATTTATATACTGAAGTTTGTACATACAAAATTGGGTAATAAAAGTTTTAAATAATGGCTTTTCCTTCTGTATATAAACATATTACTAAATTATCAACAGAAAAACATTACAAAATCATTTATACAAAATAATTTTGATAAAGATGTAAAAGATACTTGCCTCAGTTTGAGTCAAAGCAAATACATTAGTTCCCCGCCTATTCCAATGAAAGGTGGCTTTGTCAGCTTGAAATGAAGACCGACTTACTACAGCCTGTGTAACTTCGTACTGGGGGTGTTTGAACACACGCCAAAATGAAGGCTGGCCAGCTTTACCTGAAAATTATCAAATCAATTATAAATAACTAGCGACTCACCCTCGCTTCAATCAGGTTCGTCCTTATGTTTTGATGCTTAGTATGAAATAGATTTGTTTTTCATGAATGTTTTCAATGTTTTAATAGTTATTCTGCTATTCGGGACAGAGACAAATCTAACAAATCAAAAACCTCACTGTAGATACAAAGCTACTACATGAAAATCAACTAACATATTCAATGGCCGAATACACCCCAATGTGTGCAACAAGTGAAGCATAAATATAATATTTAAGGCTAATGCAAATTGATTTGCACTTTATTACAATGTAGCAAGTTGAACTTGGCTTGGAGTCTGTATGGATTGGAATGAGAAGTCAGTGGCATATCTGCATGCAAGAGACATAAACCTCTTTTTTAAATACAATACCTAAAGTGAATATTGAGATATAGTAAGCAGGTGCTGGACTTGGAGAAATACTAAAAGATTGTAGTTTTTCAGCTTGAATATAGTGTGTGTAGCGGTCAAGTTTCACATCTTCATATATCAGGACTCTGTTATTATTTAATATAGCTAGCAACTTCTCATCCGTTGACCACTTGGGTTCCCTGAAATCAAATAGAAATTGAATGAAATTAATTTACAAATAAATAATCCCCTTTGTATTGAATGCCCCCATGCCCAGCAGTGGGATGTTAAAAGGGGTGGAATACAACTTTAAAAAAGATTTTGTAAAGTAACTTTTGGTAAAAAATACACTTACCAGCCAATTTGGCTTTTTTGAACAAATGATCCGATAACTTTTCCATTTTCTGACTGAATTACATGGAGATTTGGCTTACCCTGTAATAAGTATAGATAGAATAATTTATAGTTATGTTATTAGAATAATGTTTCATTTGATTTCATACAAATGAGTGCCAAACAAGTTTACCTGAGGATTGTCCTTTGTTATAGCAAACATTTCCCATATTATAAAATAATTGTCTAAAGGTGAGAAAAACATTTCTTTAAAATTTCCATCTATTGTTGCAACTACTGACCAATCTGAACATCTTACTATTTCAGCTCTGAAAATGTTATTGCATATAATAATAAATAAATATCTTATGTGTATGGGCTGACCCGTATCTGAATACCAATTAAGTATAAGACCCAAATACATAAAACAATATTATATATAATAATATTTGAAATCTCTTATTAGGCAAAAATCTAAATATGCATTTCAGATTTTAAGCCTCAACATTGACTAATAACTATTTGAGTTTAGATATAGAATAATTTATATTATCCAGATTTTACTAATAACATATATATTTTTTTTTATTTATTATTTCTTTATCTCTTATGTATTTAAAAAGCTACATACTTTTTGTCCGTTCTGTATGCTAAGTATGTGCCCTTTGGGCTAAATATGATATTTCGGATATTTGGTGTAGTTTCATCTCGAAGAGTAATTTCCTCATACGGTTCTCTAAATTCAATACGAAATACGCTCCGGTTAGTTAATCCTGAAAGCAAGATAAATATTTATTATTTATTAACCTATATGGTAAGCTATAGATTTCTTATAAAAAATTTGGAAACAAAATTTACCGGCAATAGATGGGGTTGTACTACTCATTTTAAAAGTCAAGTCGCCTGGGGTTGAATATCTATTGTATTTTAATCATATCTATAAGTAGCTAATATAAATTGAAGTTCTAACCGGATTGTATTAAAAGTATGTACACGTCAAAAACACGCGATAAAAAGTCAAATGACAAATACACAGAGACTGTCATAGAGACAAATGTCAAATATACAGACTAATGTGTGGATTGGGGAAAGCTAATTAAATAATAATTTGTAAATAATACCGTGGCGATGAGTTATAATCCAATCGGAATCTGGTTTGGGAACAAAATATTGAAAACCTGAAGTTTTATGATTTTAAAATATTAGCAGGTATATACGGAATTGAAATTCGTAAAATGCCCCCTATGCCCAGCTACCCTCGAGAAATGGCGGGACGAAAAGCATTAAAAAATACTTTTTTTTCAATTTTCTTTCCATCAAAACATGTTTTCGACAAATTCCAGTAAAAATCTACAACTTTTATAAATAACACTTTTCACAATAACCTCAAAGTTTTCGAGATATTTGCAAAAACCTCGGTTTTTAACTTTTGCTTCGTTTTTTATTTTTAATTTCTAGAATAATCTTTTGATTTCCATGATAATAAGGGAATGTAATCTTCGAAATACATATAATAAATAAAAAAAATTGAAATTGAAATGTTTAGCCCTTTCCGAGAAAAGTATGTTTTATGGTCTCGAGAGGCTGAAAATCACCACCAACTTCAAGTTTGCGTATACATTTTTTACATTTTTATTTTTTATTTATTTTTTATTTTTATTTTTTTATGATTTTTTCACAAAACTATGACTATCAAATATGAATATCAACTATGAATATCAACTTAATTTTGTTAAATATATTTTAAACTAATAAATAAACAAGATTAGACTACGAATGAATTTCGTCTGTGTAAATAAATATTATTAACTGCTTGCTTAAATTTTTTATTAATATTGTAAAATAGCAGTTAGGGTTCCGTACCTCAAAAAGTAAAAAAGGACCGTCTGACTGTCCGTGTGTCACCAGTCACCGCTGATTTTCTCAGGAACGGTTGGACCTAGCAAGTTGAAATTTTTACCAGATACTGAGTCCCTATTAGGTGTATAATAACAATATATAAAATCAAAATGTATCAATGTATAAAATCAAGGTCCTAAGTCAACACGATAAAAAGATATGGGCAAATTTAAATTTTGAAAACTTGTAAGTACCAAAATTTATCTTAATTTTCAACTTTTTTTATTTTTCGGAATTTTTCCTTTACTTATGCTAAGACCTTGCTTTTAACCAAAATTGACTTTTTTAGGTCAACCGGAAGTACCCTTTGGCCTTTAAGTTTTGGGTTGAAAACCTATATGGTATTTCCCATTGACCTAGAATCACGAAATTTGGCAAAAAGCAAGGTCTACAGCACAAATAAAGGTAAAATTCCAAAAAAAAATTTGAAAATTAAAACTGAACAGATTTCCTACAAATTTGTACGGAACCCTCGGTGGGCGAGTCCGACTCTGACTTGACCCTGATTTCTTAAAATTAAAATAGAAGTTAATTATTCAATTTTATTAGTCATCATAGAGTATATTGCTACATTTATATAATTTGTCATCCATGATCAATCGCCCTAAAAGAATGCACAAGGCGTACATAGGCGATTATTTTCATGGAAGATATTTATTTTTTCTCTTCCGTGGTCCTAATGGATAAAATAATGTTGGATCTGATCCTGTGTGAATGAATTTGTCTTCAAAATAAGTCCTTTTCTCCGGCTATGTCATGTCGTCCGCTGTCCGGTGATTTGTAGCGGCCACAGAACAATAATACTCTAGGAGGTAGCGGCATTATATCCAAAATGGCGCAGATTGTAAAAGCAGATCGAATAGCCCTTGTCAGTGTCAATTGTCAATATAAAATCAGTACCTAATTTTTACTTATGATTACGTACAAAAATTAAGTTATTATTTATAAAACAGATTTGCAATGTAGAATTGAGTGATTATTAATGCATCAATGTTTAGTAGCAGATCTCAATTAAAAAAGAGAACGCCAGAAGATGGAACTGATCGCGAAGATTATTTATCGTTGTTAGTTGATGAGTACATCAACAGTAATTCCTTTGGTATGTAAATATTAGTTTATTATGTACATACATTTAACCGCTTTCCTCGCTTAAAAATATAAATATGATGTGTTAATTGTTATCTTTTATTTTCAGATGCTAAATGTCAAGTATTAGCAAATTTAGCTAACTTTGCTTATGACCCGATTAACTATAGCTACATAAGAGATGTCGGTGTATTAGATATTTTTATTCATACACTTAAGAATGAAAAAAATGAAAAACTTCTCCATTTTGCTGTTTCAGGAATTTGCAACCTGTGCATAGGTAATGTAATCATAATCTTAAATAATTCTATATGAAAAGGTAGAAGATTAATCTAAAATATTGTGCTTCTATATTAGAAAGAAGCTATCTAAACTTTTCTAATATAATTTTTATGTAAAATCAAGTTTTGGATTTTTTAAAGTTTCATTTTCTATTTTCAGATCCAGAAAATGTTCAATATATTTTGAACAATGAAGTCATAAAAATAATTGCTACGTTACTCAATTCAAATCATTCTGATACTGTAGCAGATATTATAACAATTTTCTTTTATTTATTGAATAGCAATGCTAAATCATCAATAAACTCTTTAGATATTATTCAGTATATAGAAACATTGCAGAAGTCTGGTAACAAAGTAATCTCAAATTTAGCAACCATATTGTTGGATGAATTAAACAAATCTGAATAATATTCTTTTTAAGCTTCTCAAGCTTAAAAAGAATAAAATGTTATCAAATCGGTTCCCATACATTGCTATAAATAATAAAAACTATCAGAAGATATGTAAAATTCATACATCTTCCTTTAGCAGAGCGTCATTTAAGGCTGGTGATAAAATAAGAATACAAAAGACTTTGACACAAAAAGATTTAGATACATTTTCAAATCTAACAAGCGATCATAATTATTTACATAAAAATAATGGAAATAAAAGGCCAATAGTGCATGGTGCATTTTTAAATGGCCTTGTAGCTGGCCTTATTGGAACACATTTGCCTGGCCCGGGAACTGTGCTTGTATCTCAAACTATGAAGTTTCCAAATAAGTGTTTTGTTGGTGAAAAATTAACTATTAGCGTAGAATTGGTGGATGTAAGAAAAATTCTCAAAGTAAAATTTTTTTGCATTGTTGAAGAAGAAAAAAAGATTGTGTTTGAAGGAGAAGCTAAACTGATGTTGGCTAAAGATAGTTAAAAGATTGCCTATTTTATATGCAGTAGGGAATATGCGTGAATTTTTATACAATAGCTTACATCGTTATATAATTGTAAAGAAACTGTCAAGCTCCAATAAATTAAAATGTAGCTTAAATGTTTTTTAAATATACCAATATAGATAATCGCCTGCTTTGCTCCCGTCCCACAATGTTGCCAATTTAGCGATTTTATCGCTAAAAATGACAACTTTTACATTTTTTCACTTTTGCAAATTGGTAGCACTGGTTCTGTTATTATCGTTATATTGGCAAAACTGCCTTTTTTTCTACGTTATAGAATTTTTACGTCACATTCGGTTCAACCAATGGCATGGCATTTGAACTACTTTGAATTTCCCATCTATACTTACATTTTTTAATAATTATTTTTTTAATCAAAAAGAAATTACATTAAAAAATATTGATATAGTCTTAATTAAAAAGCAATAAAAAATATAAAAAAATATTTCACCTTTATTTAAATTACACGCATATTCCTTATTATGAATCAAAATAACAAGAATTGAATTTTTAATTATTCTAAAATAATGAAAGCTAGAGAGTTATATATTAAGGAGGTCTGATTGTACAGTTTTTGGTGTGCCAATTAAAACGAATATTTTGAATTCTTATTTCTTTATACAGTGGTATAATAGTATAAATAAAAACTAAAAACAATTGTCCACTCTACATTTTGTACAATTATATAATAGTCAATAACAAGTAGAGACTGATAGCTTTTAAAATATATTTATTTAAACACAACAAAAAAATAATTGAAGAAATAAGTTTAATATGAACCTTCTTTCATCTGTTTTAAGATTGTATAAAATTCTTAAGAATTTTAAGAATCAATCAATCATCAAACAAATCAAAATTTTTAATCTATAGTTATTGTTGTTTCACATTATGGTTGGTGTATAGTGCTGCCATTTTTAACCTATAAATAATGTTTATGAAAAATAAATAATGTTTCCTGTTAAATGTGTGTTTGAAATTAATTAGGTGTTTTGTATTTAATATCTCATTTATTAAAGTCATGTTTTAATATTGAATCAGCTTCACTAAATAAAACTTGTTATATTATGTTTTTGTCATTTATCTATGTTATTCTTAAGTTATTGAGATTACATTTTGACTTCCAAAAGTGAAATTTTATTAATTTTATGTAATATATAGGGCATTAGGAAGTGAAGTTGGAAGGATGTAGATATAATTGTATAAGTAACTTTTTAATGAAACACAAACAAATTATAAAAATTAAAAAAACCTTATCCATTCTTTAAGTAGTTTGAGAGATGTAACGCTTTCTATATTTAAATATAAAATAAGTGCTCCTGACTTCAAGGCTGGCTGCAATACTAGTAAACTATAAAATAAAATTATGAATGAGGATGAGATTTTAATATACAAGGTCTATTTTTCTCTCAATTTCATTTCTTGCCCCGTGTTGGAACATAAAAAACCAAACAATGATAATATTAAAAAAAGATCCTATCCAAAAAGAGTTTTCTAAGTAAATGCATATATTTTTTTTATTTATAGCTATGCATTACGGAGTAGACCGATTTTGTTGATAAATTATTATTGTTTGTTACCTTTAGGTCCCATTTCAATTTCTGGAATGATCCATACTTGATATAATGAAAAAAAGTCTGCAACTATTTCTATACAAAAATTTAAATCCTTGAATGAAAGTAAAGCATACCTATAGAATATACTTACGCATTTATTTATAATGTTAAAGTAAGGGATAAATTGCGTGTATTTATTAGCATTTGCTATTTAATACATAATTATTCAGATAAAATCTAATAAAATAAGTAACAACTTTATTATATTATATCTAGTGTATTTACGTACGTATGTACGTACCTATTACAAAATCGTAAAAAATCCTGTGATTGTTTCTAAATAAGATAAACAAGAGAAATTGTCTTTTTATTTATTAATAAATAAATATCTAGTAAGTTTACTTCTTAAGACTTTCTCGTGTAATAAATCTTTGAAGATATTAATATTAGGTCCTTATATATGAAATTGGCGCTATATAGAAAAAGCAACACGAAAAGAAAAAAATGAAATTATGTAATATATTTAATCAATCAAAGGATGTACTGTTATCTATGCACTTTCACCATTTTTTAAGTTAAGTAATTCATCGATTCCTTGGCTAAAAAAATTGTGGGAGCGAGAATCAATAAAATCTCTGAAAGCGGTTTTGACTGCCTCGCTATTGCTATCTCTAAATTCGAAACACAAACACACAAGCCTAAGTTTGAAATAAATTTGAATTTGGAACTCCTAACCAAACATCAGATATTTGAGATCAAAGTGGCTAGTTCTACAAAACGCCAATTTCATATGTTTAGACCATGAACGAGTGGTTAATTCGTTCATGGTGTAGACCTAATAGATACAAAAAGGCTATTGATTATTTTTGACAATTTTACCTTATTAATTCAAGGTTTTTATATTTAATAGACGTAGACAGTAGTTTTGTCCATTCTAAGTCTTATTATAAAGTAATTAGATATATGTTAATAAGCAGGTACCTACTTTGAAAATTGCAGCTAAACTATATATATATATATATATATATTTATATATATAATAACAAACGATCTAATTTGCTTGAAATCCACATTAGAAGCTATTTACTAAAAATGAGTGTTATTTATACCATGCTTCCTTGCCTTACCTCGCTACAGACTAATCTTTAATCCTTTTATAACGCAATTTTAATATTAAAATGGTTTTATTCAGCGTTTATTAAACTCTTTATTTAACAAAATATACGATTGTTTTATTGTTTATTAGAATCATTTCCCGGATTGTTTTCACTTCTAACAGCCGTCGTCTGTGTGCCCATCACAGCTTCTTTTCCCTTAATTATGCAAGAATAATATGAAGTTTAAAATGCTTATTATATAAAGTTTGGTGAACTACAAACTCAGATTTCAATATAATAATTTAAACATTTTAAAGACCTACACAGTAAAATCCCATACTTTTATATGAATATAGAGTGAATGAGAAAACGACCTAATACACCTAATCCAAGTAAATATAGCTCCTAATAAAAATAAAAGGGCTGTGACATGAATGTCTGGCTATGACCGAGCCGGTGGTAGCTTCCTCACGGACTCCACACTGACGCTCTTTAAATTAAATTGACAATTCGAAAGTGCTTGTACAAATCTAATTGAACAAAGTTTCATTTCAAATGCTGAAATTGTAGGCATCTGTTTTTGTCTTTGGCTACGGAACCCTAAAATGCGAGGGTTCTCATGTTAAATATAAATATGTTGGGACATTAACACACAGTACCATCTAATCCCATGGCAAGCTACGATGCTTGTGTTATGGCTACCAGACAGTTGATACACTACACATATAACTTTAAATATATACATATTATAAATATAAACACCCATGACTGGAGAACAAACATTCGTGCTCATCACACAAATGAATGTTTCCAGCGGGACTCGAACCCGCGGCCACTGCGACCTCGAACAGCAAGTTGGTTTACTACAAACTGTATCAAACGTGTCGTCTATATTTTTGGTTGATATTTAAATGGAGAAAAATTACCCCAGTTTTAAGAAGTATTTTTTTAAAGAATAGAAGAGGAAAAAGAAAGAATCAGATATTATCATATGCGATTAACATTTATGAAAATTTAATAATTGGCACTGTTGCTATTTATAAATACACTAGCGAGTTTCGGTTCGCTCGGGTGCTTAACAATAGCTGATATAGTAGGTAACTCAACGGCCATTTTTTCCGACTTTAATTAAAGTTATTATGATTTCTGACAGTAAACCCATTTTAGTAGTTGCAGAGACTACTCCCAACATACAAACTTACAAACTTTATAATATTAGTGTAGATTATTTAGAATTCGTCTAATAATTTTGAGCTACGAGTAAGTATACTTTAACTGTTGTTAAATAAACCGTAAAAAAATATTATAGTTGAACTACTTCCTCACGGCATGGTATCATAGGGACTCGTCACGAGTCCCTCGTGGTGGGGGCTCATTAACGTCCGGCAATCCTGCCGGGCGCGTAACCAAGAAACGTACTGGGAGGCGGCCCACCTCGGTGGGTGGTGTGCCATGCGGGTCCAGGTACCTACTTCTATGATAGCACAGTAAACCTTGTAAGCAACTCCAGCCCACACAAGGTCTGCTTCGGCAGGCCTGTCGTCGGGACGTCGTGGTTGAGTGCGTATGCGATCCTGCGACGCCCCATTAAGACGGGGGTGATTCTGTTGGGTTTTAGTGTGTAGTGCTTTTCTGGCTGGTGAGTCCCACATAACCACATGTGTGTATGCAGGTGGTATGGTAAGTATCTTATGTGTAAATACAGGACATAGTTTATCCGTATGCCAATCTTATCTAAAAGTCCGCTTATCGTCTTACCCGTGATCGACTAATAAATATTCAATCATCTTCACAGTCTTATTTGGTATATTTTAAGTCAGCCCACGTTTTATACAGAAGATAATATAGCCCGTAGGTACATATCGAAAAATCTGAAAGCCAATCTTACTGTACCGATCGTAAAAATTCCAATAATTCGCTTATCATCTCACGATGTGAAGGCATTTACGTCGTTGCATCTTCGATCAATTGCCACACGTACATCGATGTAACCGAGATTGAATGCACGTATTTTGCACGTAACCAAACGCTGTGTAAGCATTCTTGAGCGACGTATGAAACTAAAATTCCATTGAAAATGGATTTAAATACAGATTTTTACTAATAGGGTCACATTTATTGTCACAGTTAAGCAGATATCGTATAATTTCAATTTGATATCATATAGTACACGTCACGTCCTAAGTGCAATGTTAATTTATATTAAGTGAAAACTTCATTGTTACTTTTAAATAATCTTATACGTTATTTTAAGACGATTAAGTAATAAAAAAATAAATTGCAGGGGTAAGTAAATCATCTTGAGTGACTACTGTTAATCTTAGAAAAACATAATTGATCTTGCTACCCTTTAAAGACAGACGTATCTCGCACGTGTTCAAATTGGATGCAATTATATTTTTTTTCTCAAACAACTTAACACAAAACTTAAATTGTTTAATTGTGATAGATAACTTAATCTACAATGATTGGTATCCGGCAATGGGCGCTGTTGGCTGCATTTTTGTGGTTAGTGGCGACAAGCGAAGCCCGGCGCAAACTCAAGCGAGACGAAGTAGAAAGCCTGAAGTCATTGGAGACTGTCGATTTAGATGAGGAATATGATGAGGTAATATTTTTTTTTAGGTATCTACTTAATTTTAAACATTTTATTTAATAAAACGTTTATCTCAAATATTAAGAAAAAGCTTTCATATGGTATATATAAGGTATGGTATATAATTTTTAATGACCAGCTGCTATTGTTATGACATAGAAAATTTTGCACTATCATCATATTAGATTGAGCATACGAACATTTTATTAAGAATAAGTGAAATATGCACAGAGTATATGTACCTACATATATGTAAATCCTATGTACGTGTATATATGGACATAATCAGAAGGACGCCTACTGCGCAGGAAGGTCGTTTTACTCACGAATGACTTTAAACCCGTTAAATTATTACTATCCTAGTTAACTTTAGATCAATTTGTTGGCTGTTTACATCAGGCTAAAATGTTGGTTTTACTAAATTTTGTTTATTTCATTAGGATTAGTTACTCACTGGAAAGCTGTGATAAAATAAAATCTATGTAATTATAATAGTAGAGACATCTTACTGTTCTGTGCGAACCTTCAAAAGTTCACGTAAAATGGGAGGTGTTGGGATGTAAGTAGGTACAGGAAATACTTACATACATCCACTTTGTACGGTATTCCTCATTCTTGTTATCCAGCTAGTAAATGGTTTTTTAAGTACACAATTATTGTTATATCACAATAATTAAATTGAATAAATCAAAATAAAGTCGTGCACAATAATATCTACCTATTGGTTAATTTCGTCATGTCTGTTAGTAGGGTATAGCAAATTAGCAAATTAACTTTTATTTCATAGTGTCTTCTTATTAAGAAATACGAAGTTTTGCTGCGAATAAAATATTTGCATGCTTAAAACACCATTTTCGTGTTTAATTTGAACTTAACTGCTGTAAAATGAAAATGAATTCGCACCTTTAAAGTTTTCGTTTGACACGGATCTCATAACTGCTGAAAATATCTCAGAATAATTATTTTCTTTGACTTATACCATTATAATATACGTTTTTTTAGCTAGAACCATGTCAGTGTGGCGTGTTCATGTCACAGCAAGTTGGAATAAAGGATGGCCGTCGGAGTCGCCCGCGCGGGCCGCCACAGGGCGAACCTGTAGTCACATATGACACTGATGGACCGAGCCTGCCGTGCGGTTCTGGAGGGTTTAAACATTGTATCAGCAAGTGTCTCGATGTGGTAAGCTTTGTATAAAATTCATAGAATTTTATTCCGAAGTAAGCATCTTTTTATTACGAGAAAGTGAGCTTTTCAAGCTGGCTCAAGGCTATGGTTATGTAGTGGTTTCATGAACGGTTAGTACTACAATTTAGTTGCAACGATGCTACCAGTACTAAAACTTAGTTAATCCTCGAAGTAATAATTGATTTCTAAGCAATATGTTCTTAAACAAGCAATTTTACATAATATGCGACGTGTCGATATTTAGAAAGTTAATATGAAGGAAGACAATAAAACAAAGTTTACGTTATGCCAATCACTTCCATCGTAGATTTTCATTTTAATTAGTCTTTACCGTTCCATTACTGAGAGGAGCTATTATTGCCTGCACTTTCTTTAAGATGTAAACGGACTTCAAGTCATTGATTCGCTGCTATAAACGATTTCCTTGTTTCTATTTCTGTTTACACGTCTTTAAGAAATGAACTCCGTTTGTACTCGTACATATTAAAATTATGTAACATTAAAATTTTACATACTCTAATACATACATGTTATTTGATGTCCGCCCACTTATAATTGGTTGCCGATCCGTTTGACTACGACTTGACTAAAACAAACTAAGTATAATGATATCATTTAAACTTATATTTCTATTGAAAGTTATAAAACTAATATCATCCAATTAAATAAAAATAATTGAATACAGTAAAAATAGTTTCCATTTTTAATTTTGTTCTAAAAATATCCAGATATTGAAGTACTTGCCTCGTGCCGGTCCGGTGATTTGTGGGGCGGTAGAGCGTGACGTGCGGCGAGAGAAGGCGTTCCTCTTCATCAGAAACTGTGGCGGTCAGTGGAACCCTACCAACTTTTCTGCTGGCAAAGAGTTCTGTTGCACGGACGGACAACACCACAAATGCTAACTTTCTAGTACTAATTTCTGTTTTCCCATTAACATTTAATGCATTTTATTTAACGTAATTTTATTATATACATAAACATTCATATAATAATATAAGTATGACAATTAATAGGTCCTTACTAATAGAATAGTTTAATATTTATGAGAAGGTATATTGTATGTAAATATAATATTATGTATATTTTTGAGGATAACTAAGCGAAGTACTTACATCACATTATTTATATTATATTAGTGTACACTGTACATATTACATAAGTTTTTCTATATTTAACTTGTTAGAGTTAAAATTAGACTGTTAATTAAAATATTTTTTTCAATATGTACACAAAAATTGTTGTTAAGAATTAAATTAAGATTAAATATTATTTTGTGTTTATTAATTACTAGCGAATCATCCTCGCTTCGCTCGGGTTCGTCCCTAAGTCTCTACGTTTTAACTGTTGTTATGGGTTGTATTATAGGTAATAAATGTAGGTTGTGTTTTTCTGAGGTAAAAAGTATCCTACGTTACTCTTTAGCCCTCTAACTATCTCTATACAAAAATCATACCAATCCGTCACTCTGTTTCGACGTGAAAGAAATACAAATAAACACACTTTCACATTTATAATATTAAAACTATGGATTATTAATTATTAACGCTAATCGGATAAGTAAGTCATTCATTAAGATATACGCGGTGATAGAATTCAGTTATAAATTAGAAAAAAATCCTTTAAAAATATTACTTTTATGGCTTAAGTCTAAACTTGAGTAAATGCTGATAGCATCTTGTCCATGAGTTTGAAGATATAAGGTAAATAATGAATATTACCTATCATCGAAATCGCAATGTCATGCATTTAATCGTATGAAAAAAGTGAGTAGACTACTCGTATGTACCTAATTGACAATACATATATTACCATTAGGTATACATATGTATCGTCTTTCCTACTTGATAGTATTGTTAACTAAACATAACGAAAACTGACAATAGAATATTATGAATTTCAATAATATGTGGAATATCAATATTTGATAGAGATTTTTTTTTTACTTTATAGAGAACGTATTTTCTATATTCACATTCAGTCTTAATTAATAGGGAAGAGAAGCATTTGTATCATACAATATATTTCTCGTTTGTTTATCACAATAATTAGTGACTTATCATAGTCCCAACTAAATTACTAAATATAATGAAGTGTAAGTATTTAATTTAATGTTACATAATGTTTAATAAGACTTCTATTTTGTTTATAGGGTTATGGGTTAAATGGGTAGTATAAAGTTAGACAGTCTTGCTTGTTTTAATTTGCTCGGTAAATGGTAAGGCGATACTTACCCATAAAAGCTGCTTAAGTAATTATAATAGGTAGATCTTTAGACAAGCTTTAAATGTTATTTTATATAATTCTATAAAATTTTGCTATTCCTACATATCTTATATGAAAGTTTGTGAAGATATTGGGATATTTGTTGATATAATCATACGAAAACCGTTGAACAAATTTTAATAAATCTTGGTACTAATGTAGATGACGTCTTGCGTTATTACATAGAAGACGTTTTAACCCTGGTAATATGAATTATATACGTGCATATATCCCTTACAGGGTAGTCAGTCGAATAGAGAACTTCTCTCTACACATCTATTTCGCTACGTCCGTTTTCGTCACTCGATCTTTATACTGGGGGTATTGGAATTTTGACTTTTTAATTATAATAAACTCTTGGTACAGCAGGTGATGGGATATATTTTTCTTCTGGAGAGTATAAATAACTATTTTAACCTATAAAATAGGTACTTATAAAACTCAAGGGACATTGTTTCAAGCGCATAGGGCGTAACGTCATAAATAGAGAAATAAGTCAATCATTTTGACCTAGTTTCCAGCCAGCGGGAGCAACTGAGTTTAAGTGGTGTATTTTTGTTTGGGACGGCAACGGGCTATGTGGGTGTCATCCCTGTTGCGAATATAAATTATTTTAAACTGAAGCTTAGTTTTTATTGCTGATCATTGTTGCACAGTATCTATTAACATATACGTAACTATTTACTAAACAGTAAATGCACAGGCTAAGAGTTTGTCTTTTATTTAACACTGATATACCTACTTATTACTTACAGAACCCACGGCTTCGCTCGCCCTTAAACTACAAAATAATCTCTAAAAAGGTAGTTTCATACAAACTTTTATACCCTATTTTACCCCCCTATAGGATTAATTTCGAAAAATGCTAAAACACGTATTTATTTAATTTTATTGAAGAGCATTAATACTAAGTTTCCAGTAATTCTGATAATAAATATTTTTTTGGCTTGTATTATCACGTGTTATCCCGTGGAAATTAGGTAATCTCCCGCGGTAAAAAGTAGTCTATGTCACTCTCCAGCCTTCCAACTATCTCTACACAAACTATCACGCCAATCCGTCACTCCGTTTCAACGTGAAAGAAGGACAAACAAACAAACACACTTTCACATTTATAATATTAGTATGGATGTCAATATAAACTGTAGTAGTACCTAACCATGAAGTTATTCAGAAAGTAAAAAATATTGAAAAAGAAGATCCGGAAACAGAGTTTATAATTTTAATTATTTATGTTATTTAATTTCATACATCTGCTTGCATTTTATCCTTCTATCTCACAATCTACAGCATACTTTGTAATTTCTATTCATTACACAGTTAAAACTTTTAAATGAAGAAAATTTAAATTTATATATGTATTTGTTGCAACCTCTAAGGAATGACCGTTTGGGCACAATAATAAATAATTTTTTTTTTTTAAAACAAGCTTTTATATTGTATCACATAATTAAATTGTGTGATGTAATAAATATATTTGATTTAATTTAAAGTTTATTTTTTTATTTTTTAGGTATTAATCGTATTTTATTCAGAAAACCCTTTGATTTGAAATCAATATCATGGGGGTGTACAAAAAAACATAGTCCGCGATCGTTGGGAGTCCGCCATTATTGGATTAAGAATGACGTCACTTATCTAACCATACATTGTTAATTGTTATATAAACTAAACGTGTATGCAAAACTTTAGCATAACTGCTTTAAAATTCAGTTACAAGATTTGATCTGAACAAACATACATACAAACATTGCACGTTAAATGAAAGCTTGTAAAAAAGCTACATATTATTTCGAGCCTTACGTATAAGTTAATATAATACGTTCGGGGTTGCTCGCTTTGAGCAAGCATTAATTTACTATAATTACTATATCAGAAACTAGTTCATGTAGATTACGAGTATTATGATGGTAGAGAAAACAAGCGGCCGCTGCAGCTTCTTTTGCTTTTTATTCGACACTCTCTAAGAAAATGCGTCCCTTAAGATGGATGAAAGAACGATAAAAGTTGTAAAAATCTCTACATATAATAAAATCGTAACTAAGCCGAATCTGTACATTAAATATTTTTTGGAAAATCTTATTGAAATAAACATTATTATCGATACAGAGGCCGAATCTATAGTTTTTACAATTTTTGTCTGTCTGTCTGTTACCACATCACAGAAAAACCACTGGAGGGATTTTCATGAAATTTGGTATAATAATAGCTAGTTATCCGGGTCAACATATGGGATACTTTTTACCGCGGGAAAATGTCTCATTTCTGAGAAAAAATACAAAAACTGCAATGTAAGAGTATACTAATATGTAAAACCGCGGGCATTGCTAGTGTCAAATAAATACCTACGTAGTAATATTTTTAAACTGCGGATTTGCGATTGCAGATTATAACTATTTTATTGTTGTTGTTAATTTACAGATGTTTATATTATAAAATTAGTCAATCAGTCATGATATATCCATACTAATATTATAAATGTAAATGTGTATTTGTTTGTTTGTTTACTTGTTTGTCTTTCTTTCACGTCGAAACGGCTTGGCGGATTGGCGTGATTTTTTTGTGGAGATAGAGGGCTGTTTGTTTGTTTGCTTACTTTTTTGTCTTTCTTTCACGTCTAAACGGCTGGGCGGATTGGCGTGATTTTTTGTGTGGAGATAGTTAGAGGGCTGAAGAGTGACATAAGCTACTTTTTACCGCGGGAAATTATCTCTTTCCCAGGGAAAATACGTTATAATACAACCCAAAACAATATTTATGATCAGAATTACTTGAAACTTAGTATAAATGCTCTTCAATACAATAAATTAAATACGTGTTTTAGCATTTTTCGAAATTCATCCCATAAGGGGGTAAAATAGCGGATGACATTTTGTATGAAACCCTCCATTTTAATTTTTTTTATAGTTTTAGCGCGAGTAAAGCCGCGGGTTCTGCTAGTAAGTTTATATATTAATGCTTACAACGTAAATTACTTTTTTTCGAACTTAAAAATATATTTTCAACGACACGTTTAGAACAATATCTTTTATGTTCAAATTAGACCCTTTTGCCGCTTTCAAAAAGGTATGTCGAGTCGTCAAGTTTTAGACAATGATCCTTTATAACCAGATTGTGCTTATTTTACAAATAAAACCCATTGTTGTGGTTAGAAGTACTCATACTGCTATACACTTGACATGACAACTCGTAATGCACGATATCGGGTTTCAAGTTGTGAGACTCTTTGTATATAGCTTAAAAGAATAATGTAGGAGTCAAAAATTTATTGAATACTGATTTGATCGTCCTTATAGAAATTTAAATATCCTTCATATAAATTTGACAATTACTAATTTGATGTAATATTCTGCATAATATGTAATACAATTAGCTTTTTAAGGTGACATTAATAGTGAAAGAGGAAGCATATGATTGTTATTTATAAAACTACTTAAAAGTGAAGGAAATTTAATTATTTTTGCTCTAGAATACTTTCATTGAAAAAAGAACTAAAATAAAATCTTTTTATATATATATATATATATATATATATATATATATATTATTTTGTCATAACTATAATATAAGTTTTCGAGTACTTCAGCTAAAAACATTAAGATCATAGTTGTAAACATCTTAAACTGAGCAAACAAAT